TGAATCAAGCTAAGATCTATACAAAAATAGATGTATAAGGAGTATACAATCTAGTATGCATCAAAGAAGGAGATGAATGGAAGACTGCATTTCAAAGAAGGTATGGATATTCAAAATACAACATCATGCCTTTTGGACTTCCAAATGCACTAGCAGCATTCCAACATCTAATGAATGATGTTTTTCGAGAGTTTTTAGATGATTTTATTGTCTATTATCTAAATGACATCTTAATCTATTCTATGAATACAGAAGAATATAAACTTCATGTTCATCATGTGTTACAAAAACTAAGAGATATAAAACTCTATGTTAAGATAAAAAAAAGTATGTATTTCACACTATTCAAATTGACTTCTTAGGATATATCATTTCAAATGATGGACTTATGATGGATCCTAAGAAAGTTCAAGCTATTATGGATTGGAAGATGCCAAAAACAGTAAGAGATGTCAAATACTTTTTGGGATTTGCTAACTACTATCGAATCTTCATCAAAGACTTCTCTCAAATTGCAACTTCACTTACACATTTGACTTGTAAAGAAAAACTTCAATAGAATCAAGAAGCGGAAGTAGCATTTGAAGCTTTCAAGAGAGCCTTTGTTTTTGCATCAATTTTGTATTGTATTGATTTCTCTAAGCCATTTTTTATGGAAACAGATGCATCAGACTTTGCTTTAGGTGTCGTATGGTCATAAATGGAAACAAATGATAAACTTCACCTAATAGCTTTTCATTCTAGAAAATTTTCAATAGCCAAGATTAATTACAAGATCTACGACAAAGTTCTTGCTATTGTGGATTTGTTTCAAGAATAGCGCCATTATCTAGAAGGTGCTCCTAGTCCAATTACCGTGTATATGGATCACAAGAACTTTGAATATTTTATGTCTGAACGTATTTTGAATCGTCGCCAAACCCATTGGAGTATGTCTTTATCAAGATATGAATTCAAGATCACTTATCGATCGAAAAAACAACAAGATTTGTCAGATGCACTCTTTAGACGATCTTACTTTGCATCAAATGAAAGAGATGCTATTTTTGATCAACAACGGATAATATTCTTGAAGCCAAAGCATCTTCATCTTTGAGCAATAAAATCAATACTAATTATTGATTCAACTTTCATTAAGCAAGTTTAGTCAAGTATGTCTTTTGATCTTCTTATTCGTGATATTAAAGAAAATCCTTCAAAGTCTCATGATACTTTTAAGTTTGAATTCAAGAAGAATCTACTATATTTTGAGGGATGCCTATATGTTCCAGAAGATGAAGCTCGATTATGTATTTTTTAAGCTCGTCATAATTTTTTGGTGGCAAGACATTTTTGATACAGCAAAACTTTAGAACTAATATCTAAGGATTTTTGGTGGCCCCAAATGTAGAAGGCAGTCAAAGATTTTGTACAATCTTGTGATGTTTGTTCAAGATGAAAAACTCCTCATCATCAATCTTACAGACTTCTTTAGCCATTATCCATTCCAAAACAACCATGGTCTTTTGTTTCTATGGATTTCATCACAGATCTTCCAGTCTCAGGTTCTTACGATTTTATATTAGTGATAGTAGATCGTTTTATCAAGATGGCATATTTTGTACTATGTACAAAATCTATCACAGGTGAAGAAACAGCTAACCTCTTTCTTAACAATATCTATCGCTATCATGGATTATCCAAGGATATTATATCAAATAAGAGAACTCATTTTGTATCAAGATTTTGACAAACTCTTTTCAAGATTCTAAAAATGAATATAAAACTACCTTTGGCATTCCATCATCAAACTAATGGACAAACAGAGCATGTTAATCAAGTTTTGGAGTAGTATTTAAGATGTACCATCAACTATCAACAAGATGATTGGAAAACTCTTTTGCCATTGGTAGAGTTTGCTTACAATAATATGTTATATTCTTCTTTAAAACAAACACTTTTTTTTACTAATTATGGTTATCATCCATGACTTGATACTTTTGACTTTTCAAAAGCTGATAATCTTATGGCAAAAGATTTGACAAATCATTTGTCAGAGCTACATGCAACAATGAAGGCACAATTAAAAGAAGCTTAAGAACAACAAAAGATCAATGCAAATGTTTATCAAAAGGAACAACCACCATTCCACATGGGTGATAAAATATAGTTACTTCATCGCAATATCAAGACCACTAATCCTTATGACAAGTTAAACTATCAAAGGCTTGGATCATTTTTTATTTCTACAAAAATCAATCTAATTGCATATCGTTCATACCTATCGGAGTCAATGAAAATCTATCTAGTATTCTACGTGTCTCTTCTTAAACCATACAAGACAGTGGATATACCAAGAAGAAAATAAGCTCCACCTCCTCTTATAGAAGTGGACAATAATGAAGAGTTCGAAGTGAAAGAAGTCCTAAATTCAAGGCGACGCCAAAATAAATTGGAATATCTTGTCCATTGGCACGGATATGATATTAGTGAATGCACATGGGAGCCAGTAAAGAATCTTATAAATGCAGAAAAGGCGGTGGAGGCTTTTTATCGATGACATCTATCAAAATCAAGATGAAAACCTTTCTTATAAAAAAAAAACAAGATCTAAGCAAGATAAAATTCTACTATCAATCCTTGCTTGTAACTTCTTTGTAGTTATGACACTAAGGAGATAGAGAACCGACAACCAATGGATTTGACTCAAGAGCCTTTGTTTGTTGACCTTTTAGACAAGACATTACAATTATCACAACCTTCAAGAGTATACAATCGAGATGAAGATCCTCAAGAATGACATGTTCTTCCTTGAATAGATAGCGACATACAATGCATTTGATATCACAACCTTGGAAGGGACTTCTGATGTTTGGTGATTTTACTAGAGGTAGAAATAATTCTTGATGGTGTTCCAAATATTTTATTTGAAGGAAGTTATGAAGTCCTCAATATCAATCAAATAACTGGGTGATCTTTTCGTCTTGGTATGGGATACTATGAATGGTTGAGAGGCCCTATCAATCATCTTTGAAGAGAACAAAGATCAGATTATGAGGCAAATACAATTTGCCGCATCTTAGACTTCCTCTACATGTGATCACCACTCCTTGTGGAACTCGTCCCTAGAAGGGGGATAATGTTACGGACATATATTTACTATAACTATTACCTAAGTAATATGAATAGATAGAAGTAGATAAAAGTAGATTAATTTCATAATATCTTCTAAAATAGCTTCTTAGAAGCTTCATAGATGTTGCTTTGACTTTACATGTATTTATACTTGATTGGTAGGTTAAAAACTTGGTCAACAAATTAACCACGTGCCATACAAGTTGGTAGCTTACGGAACAAGCTAACTATGTGGCGCCCATATAGAAAACTTGCCTTGCAAGTTAAGATACGTGTTGTGCAAAGTCAACTCGTTTTCGGAGGTCCTATAGAATGTCGCCTTATAGCTCATAGGTAGATAGTATATATAGAGGCAAGATCAAAGCCTTCTTCACTCTTGTCAAATCCTTTCTTGCTTCTAGTCTAGTTTCAAGGGTCTCTAGTTTTCTTGTCTTTTGGCAATAGCCATTCCAGTTTCTTTCCTAATATACATATTTAGTTATTTCTATTTTGTCATCTTTCTTTGAGAAAAGTCTCACTTGTTTATTTGTTTTTATCAAACTCTTGTCCTTGACATCTACTTCTACTTAATCATATAGGTAAATATTAGAATAAATATGTATATCTATAATACTACTTCTTTTCATATTTTCTATTAGTAAAACTTTTTTTTACATTATTGATTTTATTATGGTATTCAAAAACATCCAATTAATACAATAACTTTTTAAGATCTTCAAATCTTGTCCAATTTCTTCATAATAGTCTACCAAATTAATAAAAAAATATTTTCACCGAAGTCTTAAAAAAATTCTCTAAAAATTTATAAAAATATTTAATTTTTAAAAGAGTATATGTCAAAAATAATTAAAACGTTTTTATAGTTTTTATACTAATTAATAGATATTTTATCTTTTTTTAGTAATATAATTAATTTAAATCAACTAAAATTTATGTTATCTATAAAAATCTTTAAAAAGACATAATATAATTTCTTATATTTTTTTTTATCTACTAACTAATATTTATAGATTTTTTTAAATTAACATATATTAATATAAGATTAATATGGATATTGGTTTTAATAACTAAATATTAATTCTTATAATAAAAAATAAATCAACTAAAATAATTACTTCTATGATTTACTAAGATTTTATTTTTATGACTTTTTTCTCTAATAAAACTCTTGTAACTTATAAGAACTTCTAAATTCTTTTTAATATTTAAATAATCAATTAAAATCTCTAATCTTAGTATTTTTGTATATAAATAATTTAAACTTGTATTCTTAACAATTCAACTAATTAACATGCATTAGTTGGACTCACATATGGCAACCATTTGGGACTATTTGTAACATTAGAAAAAGCCCAACTCTTACCTTTTATATGGTCTATAAAGAGAAGAGTAAAAAAAAGTTTCAAAAGTTGATACTACAATATTAAAAGAAATACAGTACATGAAGAAGAATACTAAACTTTGACTTAGAAATAAAGTTGTATTTGTTCGACACAATATGTCTCCATATGTAGCAATTTCTTTCATAGCCACTAACTCAAATGTTGCATAGCACCTGTAGTTCTATCGAGATTGGAACTAGAGACTAGGTTTCCAACACCAAAGCAGCACAAGACAAAGGTGGTGAAGATGGGGGTGTGTATGGTGCCACCACACTTAGACGGGCCCTGACGGAACTCGCCCGTCCTCCTTCCCTCCCTGGGTCCCGCCCGCCTTCCCCCCGTGCCTCGCTCTGAAGGGCTGACGGTGCGATTGTTTGAGAACGAGCAATAGAGCGAGTGCTGCTGCTAGTTGTAGTGGCGGTAGTGGCGGTAGTGGTGGTGTTCCTTGAACGTCCCGTCTTTGGTTTCGCACGACCCCCTTCACTGCCTCCGATGCTCCTTTCTCTTCCTCCTCGTCTCCTTCGTTTCCCCTAATGTGCTGCCTCCTCTGGGTTGTTGACATTTTCCTAGCTGCCTGCGTTGTCACCTCTGTTCCTGCTGTTTCTGCTGGATCATCTTTTCTGTCACTGCGCCAGCCCCTGCCAGAGGTGGCTATCGCTCCGGACTTTTCTTTCCTTAGTCAACTCAAGTTTGCCGGAGTTTAGGGTTGGTTCATTTCATTCACCTGCGAGAGCTAGTGCTGAGGGCTGGCAGAAAGAGCGTGTGTGCGGCGTTTGCAGAAGGGTTTCACTAGGAATCATTTTTCCTCTGCCCTGAACATGTGTCTCAGCAGATGTACTACTGGTGTCTGTTAACTAAGCTTGTTTTTAATATCCCTTCTGCAGGAAGTGTGACATTTTAAAAACATGCACTGATCGTTGGCGGGAATATCCATTCTTTGTCCAAGAATATCGTAGGTGGGATTAATGGCTCATGATTCGGGCATGGATATGTATGGGCAGGAGCCCCAACGAAGGTCAGAAATTTACACATATGAAGCCCCTTGGCCTATATATGGCATGAACTGGAGTGTTCGCAAAGACAAGCACATGCGTCTCGCTATCGGATCTTTTCTCGAAGATCATCGCAATAAGGTGGAGATAGTTCAACTTGATGATGAGACGTGCGACTTCAAGGCAGACCCTAAGCTCTCATTTGATCATCCTTATCCTACCACCAAAATTATGTTCATTCCTGATAAAGAATGTCAAAAACCCGACTTGCTGGCTACCACGGGCGACTATCTTCGCATATGGCAGGTGTGTTGTCTTTTTGTGTTTCTCTGTAATTAGCATTGTCCTTGGGATGCCTTCGCTTGGCAAGGGATTATGAGATTTACCTCTACAAGTTCTATGGAAAGCTTTTTGTCCGAACAGGTTTTGTGTTTTGAACTGATATGCGACTAACCTTTTCCCATTGTTTCATTTACTTGCCATCATTTAGGAGGATTGCAGAGCCTAATTTGATTTCTAGCTTTAACGTTCATTCCTTGTCACCTATCTTCTTTATCGAATATCCGAGATCTGTTGTTCCCCTGGTTGTGTCAATATTTGTGGTGGAATCAAATATTCAATCGCAATTGGTATCTCTTTGATCAATGTCTTGGGGAACAGATCCATGATGACAAGGTGGAATCTAAAAGTCTACTCAACAACAACAAGTATAGTGAATATTGTGCCCCTCTGACTTCGTTTGATTGGAACGAGGCTGAGCCCAAGCGACTGGGAACATCAAGCATTGATACCACGTGTACTATTTGGGATATTGAAAAAGAGGTGGTGGACACCCAACTTATAGCCCATGACAAAGAAGTTTACGACATTGCCTGGGGAGGTGCTGGTGTCTTTGCTTCCGTCTCTGCGGATGGTTCTGTCCGTGTTTTCGATTTAAGAGACAAGGAACATTCAACGATTATATATGAGAGCACACAACCCGACACGCCTCTTCTACGATTGGGATGGAACAAACAGGACCCTCGATACATGGCTACCATCTTGATGGACAGCTCAAAAGTGGTGGTTCTGGATATCCGAGTGCCGACTGTACCAGTTGCAGAGCTGCAGCGGCACCAAGCATGTGTTAATTCTGTCGCCTGGGCTCCTCACAGCCCTTGTCACATATGCACTGCTGGAGATGATTCCCAGGTACTTTATTGAAGTCAACCAACCGTTGATTTTTCTTCTACGTGACGCAAATAAGATTGGGATGTATGCTCATCTTTGGAATTCTTTTCTATCCATCTGCTCTTCGTCTACTGCCGCAGCATTCTCTTACGTGCAATTTCAACCTTGCACAGGCTCTTATTTGGGATTTATCATCGATCAGCCAGCCTGTAGAGGGCAATTTGGATCCAATATTAGCATACACTGCAGGAGCTGAAATCAATCAGTTGCAATGGTCTTCAACACAACCTGATTGGGTTGCCATAGCCTTCTCCACCAAGCTCCAGATACTACGTGTTTGATGTTTGCTATTCGTCTTCATCTATCGATAAAGGTTATGATTAGCCACAGGGAAGTATCTTTTGCAGATTATTTATATTGAGATCTGTCGTAGACTATGTGATATATTCATGAAGGCTGGGATTTGAAATTTCCCTTCCGGGAGATGTCATGTCAAGCTTTGCTCTGTTGGGTCCCAGTAGCACAGTTTATTACAAACCTGTAGTTCAAAGAGTTACCACCTGAAACCATTGTATAATCAGGTAACCTTTCCTTAGATAAGCAAACCATGATGTCCTCTGTTGTGAAGCTTCAACAGAGGTTTCTTTGTTGTTTGGGCTTGCAGGCTGTAATTCGCACCTGGTATGGTTTCAACCTTTGAAGTTAGATGTTGACGCTGTACATAAAGGTCAGAACCGCATTTCCTTGATACTCTTGGTCTACGTGTTTTAAATATTTTCTGAAGTGCAGGTGTTAGCTGAGGACATAGAAAACTCTTAAATTTGTCCGTGGAATTTTATTTGGTGCTGCATCTGTCTGCTTTTTCTTCTAACACAGTATAGTCTGGGTCTACTTCTCAGACACTCACTCATCCATCTACTTTGAGTACAGCATTTTGACGTAGAGAATTACAAGGGCGTGGTGGACGCCCGCATGGCAGTGGACGCGGTGTAAGCGTTCGCACTAGGGTAGTATTCACAGTTCTGAGATGTTAGATGGGTTGTACTTGCATCTACTGTATCTACCCTTGTTTTTCAAGTATTGTCTTTTCTACATATGGCATGTTATGAACCTGTGTATTTCTATCATAAAAATGGTACCATGCTATATTATAACTATTTGTGAAAAAACCAATAATTGATTAGAAATAATTATGTATATATATATTTATATGTGATTCATAACACCATTAATTTATATAACTCACTGTCACGCACGAAAGAAAACGTTATTGCCACCATGATCGTCAAAGGTATCAGTGTTATACTGTTCTTGATCTACGTACTTGTATGTATTGGCAGTGCACTTGAAAACATCGAACATGCTAAGCTGGATAATATTACTACCTCACATGACACATGACCCACTATTTAATGTCATACAAGCTATAGTATTTAGAAGTTGACCATTATATTGACCATTATATTGGGAATTGCTCAAGAATATCGGGAAATTACGAATTGAATCCCAACTTAGTCTTGTTGTGGGATTCAATTCATATGACGGTCTTTGTTGGAATAGGTATCCAGTTGGTACCTGGTACTGGATGGACAGGAAATTCAAATGGCTCTCCGAACCAAAACATTTTAATGGATCCTGAACCTTCAATTCTGTCTAATTGTCCAAAAATGTGTTACTTTCTTGTTTTATGTTATTTATATCTCATACCGTTAACCTAGTCCCAATTCGTTGCCCTTAGTCCCAATTGGTTGCCCGTCAATGAGTTGCTCACAAAATCTGAGGTAACTGCCCTGCATCTATGTCTATAAACAAGCCTCGATGACGGAAGGATGAATTAAAAAGGTCAGATTGCCAACCGTTTACTTATTCTTCTGCAAAATTCACCAAGATAGGTGAAAAAGTTTTACTTTTGTTGTGAATACAATTTTTACATAATTCATCTTCAGTTGGGTATTATTATTTTTCCTTAATTAAGACTATATTTATCATTATTATCAAACAACTTGATGGTAGACTTGGTTTTTCTTTTATTATCATTATTTTTTTATCAGCTCAATAATAGTTACTATTTGAAATAAATCAATGGTATAACTCGGGTTACTATTTCCGAATACTTACTAATTTTTAGAGCATTATAGCTCCATGCACAGATGTGGTTTCAAAATATATTACTGCTTTCGATAACTGCATTTAAAAATGAAAAAACTGTGTAGAATCTAAATATCAATTAGATATCAGAAATGGTTTAGTATAGGATCAAGGATAAGATTTAAAGATTTTAAGCCAGAAGTGATATGGAAAGATAACATGATAACTCCAAATCTGAAAGTGGGTTTAGAAGTAAGTAAGAAAGAGAGTAAAATACCTGTGAAGTGTGTAGGTTCATGAGGTCAGAGGGAAGTGGGCACAGGGGTAAGAGCGAGAGAGAGAGAGAGAGCATGCAGGATTTAGCAGGGTGGTGGTGGATTCTGTTCCCCGCTTCCCACTCCCTTTCTGTCCCCCTCTTGCTCTCTCCCTCACTCTCTCTCTTTCTCTGTATCTTTGGTGCTCAGTCCGTCCGTCCGTCCGTCCGTCCGTGAGTCGATCGCTGGCTGCACGGGTGGTGCCCAGCCTCTTGTTCTTGCTCGTGCTCTTGCTCTTCAGCTCCGTGGTCGACGTCGTCGCCGTCGTTGCTGTGATGTGCAGTGCTGTGCCGTGCCCCGGTGTTGAAATTCCAGCTCTTCTCTTCTCCGCATCCCCTTCGCTGCCTCTCTGTGCGGGATGTGCCTCTCTCTTTTTCTTTCACCCCCCTTCCTCTCCTGCCCTTGCTCGCCTCCTCCTCTTTTCTCCCTCGTCCCACTGTAACCCTAAGTTGCTCCTTGTCTGGAATTTTCGACAGTTCCATGAGGCGGCTGCTCTGCGTTTTTACTCCTTCTCTGAGTGTCGCGGCATCGTTTTTGGTCTGTGCTACAGCCCCTGCCAGATTTTCTATCTCTATGGACCTTGCTACCCTCCGTCTACTCCAGTTTGGTAGAGATTAGGTTCTGCCAATTTACTCAGCTGCTGAAGCTGGCGTTGAGAGATGGCGAAAAGAACGTGTATACAGTTTATTTCAGAGGGATTTTAGCATATAATTAGAGTTGGGTACCGCAAAGTTCATGGAATCAGATTGCGGTAGCTGCTGTGGCCTGTTCCCGAAGCGGAGAAGAAAAGAGTCTAAGCCAACTTTGCTCATTGACAAACATTACTCTAAGGAGCATTTGCTGGGTTTTACTGTCGAGGAAGTCGAGAAAGCCACTCAAACTGCATCTAAGAATGGTGTTAAGTCCACAATCCCCATTTACCACTACACACCTCCTTACTGCAACACCCGAACTTCATGTACCGATGTTCCAAAAGGTTCACCAAGTCAGCTTGGATCCTCATATATTGGTGTTCAGTATGAAACAAGCGACGAATTCCGAACTGGGCACAGAGCAGCTAAAGTCACTCACTGCGTGGTTCGTTCAGAGGTACAAGATTGCATGCTTTGGCCTTCAATGTATTGATTCATCGAGTTTCTTAAATCGCTACCATAATTCCAGTGTGCGTAGTTTCGATATGAGGAAGAATGTTTTAGTTCTTAGATACCATCTCTCTCTACCTCTATCTCGCATTCCTTTTTGTATTGTACTCATTGTTGTGTGTTTCTCGAGTCCAGGATTCACACGGCAACAAGATGATTAATGAGTATGTGCGAGAGCGGAAGATTGGGACCGGCAGCTATGGCAAAGTGGTGAGCAGATACTCCCGGTAGTAATGTGCTGCTTGTCATAATGAGAGTTCTACAAGGCACTTATAGTGGAAATTGTGAGAAAGACCGATTTTATATTACATTATGTAGAATTTTGTGCATTAGGTTTAGCTTTAATAATTCATTTAGCTGTTGTTTTGGGGCAGGTTCTACATCGAAGTCAAGAAGATGGCATGTTTTATGCACTCAAGGTAATTGACGTCAAATTTATTACAACGAGGGTTTATTATTCTATTTTCAAGTGGGTCTTTTGTAGCAAGATTTGTGTTCGGAGAGTTGGTGTGGAATTTATTAGAAGAGTTGTGTGTACTTAAAAGCCATTGCAGAATTTTTCGTAGGTTTTGCTTCCCACCTTACCATACATTAAAATACTGGAACAAGGACCCTAGGCCTGACCTTCTTTGAGTATCGTGTATTTTAGAACGTGTTCATAACTCCCTTTTAAATAGTGCGGTTCAACTTGATAGTGGGTGGTTTCCTTGTACAGATATTTCATAAGTCCCGTTTGTGCAAACTACGAGTTTCGCCAACCGAAACTGCTATGATGGATGTGCTTAGAGAGGTATTATTTTTGGTGACCTATCAGAAGTCCTACTAGACGTTTACTGCACTAGTACTGTCTGAGGATCTGTAATGATTGGCATTTTGTCTAATTTCATTCTCTTCATGAAGATAGCATTGCAATTAGGTGGGCATATATGTTCACATTCTTATTCTGAGAGGTGTTTTGAGAATCATTTAAATTCAGATGACATCATTATTGAAGCTTTTGCATCATTTGTAAAATTTATCTGGGAAGTTGTTTGTGGTCAGCTATGGATGCAGAGACAGTACCCTAATGTACTTAGCATTCTTTACTATTTTCCTTAAAATTTGGATCCTTTCACACTGGCTTGCTTTAAGCAGGTTATGATAATGAAGCAGCTAGATCATCCGAATATTGTCAAGTTGATTGAAGTTATTGATGACCCTCAGAGTGATAACTACTATATGGGTACATTCTCATTTCTTTAAGCTGTCCAACTTCAGCATTATTTTCAATTTTACTTAGAACTAAGTTAAGTAGCTTACTTAAGAGGTTTGACCTTTTGAATGAATTTGAATATGGTTATCCTCGTTGGAAGTAGTATGATAAACGTTGTGGTTGGCATTTGTGGAAGTACCTCTAGCGGCTCATCAACTACAGTTTTTAATTTTCACCAGTAAAACACTTTTACAAGTCGATGTTCCTTTTCATACAACTGCAGTGAGGAGAGTTGCTTTTGGTACTATGCTGAAGTTATATATCTTATTGAGCTTCATCAAAATGTTCTGCAGTTTTGGAATATGTGGAGGGTGGATGGATTTTTGAAGGCTGTGGACCAGCAGGAGGAATAGGAGATGCTCGTGCCCGTCAATATTTCCGGGATGTTGTTGCTGGCCTCATCTACCTACACAAAAATGTATGATCACACGATGTCTAATATCGTGTTGCCTATTTCTGCAGTATTTCCTTCAATCTTAGCGGCCTTGGACGTTTGGTTGGACATTGTAACATTGATATGTTTTTGTGGTATGTTCAGAATATCATCCATGGTGATATTAAACCAGAAAACCTTCTGGTCAGTTCTGATGGCCACATCAAGATTTGTGATTTTGGTGTTAGCCGCAAGTTTGAGGTAATTTTGGGTTCTCTCTAGAAAGCTCGTGTTTGTTTATTTGTTTCATGATAAGATGCTTCTGTAATTTTAAGAGGAAGATTTTCTTTATTGATACCAATTGAACGTATTTTCAAAATTCTTCTTCATTGCTAAACATGTTTTTTTACAGGATGGAAACGATGAACTACGAAGGTCCCCAGGGACACCTGTTTATACAGCTCCAGAATGCTGTTTAGGTGAGGAGTTTTTTATGGCTATCATTTGTATTTGCTGTCATGGACAAGCTAACTGATTTCGACTTGATTTTTTGATTATGTACTTAATTGATGTGACCTCCAACGATTTGAGGTATTACTTTGAACTTTGCATTGAACTTTTCGAGCAACAGGATTGACATATCATGGAAAGGCAGCGGATGTGTGGGCTTTGGGGTGTACCCTCTACTGTATGGTGTTGGGGTCCTATCCTTTTAAGGGGGATAATTTACAATCTACGTACGACAAGGTATTTTATCACCTATCTTATTGGAGTGCCTCGCATTGGCCTGCTTCTTAGTGGAAACTTACATTTTTTAATTTTTTATGCTATTTTATTCTTTTCGGGTAACCGTTCGTCCTAGTGCAGAATATTGTTACTATTTATTTGTGTTACCTTTTACATCTTGATCAAGATGTTAATTCTTGAGTTGGTTCAGATTGTGAATGATCCTCTTCATATTTCTGGTCACGTGGAGCCAGATCTTGCTGACTTATTACGAGGATTACTCTGTAAGGGTACGTTTTTGTTATAAGCACCAGGTTTACATTTTGTGGGCTCAGATAAGCCACCATGAACTATATGTAAAATGTCGTAATCTTCTTGCTTCTCTTTCGACATTGATTAAATGTTCAATTCCGGTTTTTGATAAAACCTACCTCAGACAAAGAAATTTTAGTGAGGAATCTCTTGGAATTTGTAATGATTTGTATTGCACACAAGGAACCTGCTGTCATTACCATGATACATGCTTATGCTGAGTTGGTTGCAGATGCTACTAAGCGGCTCAGTTTGGAGGCAGTAGCCAACCATTCGTGGGTTGTGAGAGGGTATGGCCCTGTACAATGAAAATACGCAGAATTAGTCTACTCTATTTGTAGCAATCTCTGTAAGGTTGCCTTCATGCATCTCTTCTGCCACTTTCTGCGAGGCATTAAAGATGAATTGTAAGGCTTTGAAATGTTCAAAGCATTTTAAACCTCATAGAAACTAGGGAAAGCTTTATCCAGATAGCTACAAAATTTTAGAACATTTTCCAATCCTTTTGCATAAGCAACTGTGCATTTGGACATGATAGTCTTATTTTGTTTCAGGTTTGTAGTAGAGTAATTCTCAGTTCAGTATTTGTATTCTCTCTTGGTGGATAGCGTTGAATAGCAAGCATTTAATTTATTTTACCGCAGTATACTTTATTCAAGCTGACTTGCAGTATGTCATTTAACATCATTTTCAGGTGTAGGAAGCTTACGCTTTATGTCATGCCCAAAAGTAGCTCATGTAACATAATGACCCCGTTTTGAATTCCAGTTTATATCCCCTCCACAAGAACGGTTGACTTATCTGCCTTGTGCATGCATGACATTGTAAAGAAAAATTTACTTGTGACAACGCAAATGGTTAACACCACTACTGTTTTGACAATTTGATGGAGCATGGTTTTTGTTTTATTTTGAATTACTAGGTATCCACAGATATAATGAAGAGTCTCTTACCATTGTTGGTTCACAGCAATCTTTACTTGTCAAAACCGTCTTAGAAAATTTAAGATCTATATTGAATGAGACAAACTTCAATACGAACGAGATGTGTTTAACTCGGACCTTGGGCGTTCGTCTTCAACTTGGACACCATGAACATTTTGAGGTTAAATAACTCAACTTTACACCCCGATACCCCCAGGAGGTCAACAGAACACCATTCCAATTTTCGGACTTTTTGGTCATTTTCAAATTTCATTTTACCATGAAAATCTACTCGTGAAGTACTACAAAATCCAATTATGTCTCTTGGAAGGATCCACACGAAAGAGCACAAGTCATGCACACAATGCTGCTCACTACCCAGCACATGCTTGAGGTTTCTCTCCAGTCTACAGTTCAAAAAACACTTCGACATCATATCACATATTAACCTTTCAGGAGAATATTCTTAGCACGTATAGAGAAAACAGTGCAGGACGCTGCAGGAGCTTCCAAACAAAAAGATCGTAATTCTGAAGAAATTTCAAAGCATCTCCATGTAGCACCAACTATATTAAAGCACTAAAACACAAGACAATTCCCAAGTCACAATTCGTGTAGATCTTGAGAACTTTCAGTCCATAAACAACAAAAAGTACACTATCGATGAGGATAAAGGACATTCTACAAAACCCATCATCTGTTTTACATGAGCAGTTTCAAAATACGACTCTGCTCCACATGCTTCGGAGAAGCTTGACAAGGAAATGAAGTTAACGTAGATTAAGTTACAATGCATCTAGATGATGAACATCAATGCTAGAGACATGCCCAAGAAACATATGCCAGCGTTTAAGACAGTAGGGATTTCATTACAGACTTCACGTTGAGCTTCTTCAAGTCGGTGTAGTTCTGGCCACAGCCTACAAACATGACGGGTGCACCCGAGGTGTAAACCATGGACAGTGCCGCTCCAACCTTATCATTATTCGTATCAAATTTGGTGAGTAAAATTCCATCGATGCTCTGCGTTTGGGAAGAAGTGGAAAGATCAGCCAGTTTCTGGTTGAATTGGGTGAGCTGGTGAACACCATCATTTCCAACCAGAGCTTCTCCAACAAACAGCACTAAATCAGGGCCATTCATGTTGATGAGCTTTGATAATGCCCTCATTAGAGGTTCGTTATCCTGCATACGTCCAGCAGTGTCGATAAGGACAACATCCTGCTTTGTGCGCTTCGAGTCATAGATGGCATCCCTTGCAACTACAGCAGGATCTCTCTCGTAACCCCTCTGAAATATCGGAATCTGAAGTCTGCGAGCATGGGTGCGAAGCTGCTCTACAGCGCCCGAACGGAAAGTATCACATGCAGCCATCATCACCTTAATGTCATGTTGCTGCAGCCAGTACGCCACCTTGGCCAAATTGGTAGATTTTCCAACTCCGTTGACACCCACAAAGACAATAGTGTACGGTCTACCAGTCTCCTTATCCTGATGAATATCGCCCAGAATGTCGACTGAACGCTTCGGTGTTAGGATTCTCACCAAAGCTTCTTCCATGGCTGCCTGGACAGTGGTAGAAATCCGCGTAAAAGAACCCTGCTGTTTCCCAACAAGACTTGCAGCAACTGACTCACACAGCTTCTCAGCAATATCTGTAGCCACATTCTTTGTCAAAATTTTGAGCGCAGGCTCCAGATCAACATACTCAAGCGTTGCTTTCACTGCGATGCTTTGAACCAGGGAAGTCAACCAACCCTTTTTAGTCCCAGATTCCGTAGTTCGGCTCTCTTTCTCAAGGTCCTCCACTATGTCTCCAACTCGAAAACTCTCATCATCATCGTCCTCGTCCATCAAACTCAGCCCTTTCTCTACGGCAACAATATCAACGCTTTTCTTGCCCTGATCAGCAAAAACATGGCTTGTGAAATCTAGTTTTGAGGGAGGGGGGGCTGTTGAGAAAAGAACTCTTTAAGTAGTTGCTAATGGTCAATAGAGTACAAGTGTTGTTAGGGATATGCCATAAGGTTAGGTGCTGGTCTATAGTGCATTAGAGTACAAGAGGAGGGCTGGTCCTAGGAGATATCCCATATGGATTGTAGCACTTGGTACCTTGGTACTAGTATATAAGGAAAGGGTTGGCATGGGAAGAATTATCTCATACCACACTCTATTTATTAAAGTGCAACCTTTGCTGGTCCTAACTTACTTGTGTGGAGTATGCTTTCTATGTTTCAACAGGTCATGGGCCCACATTCTCTTACCAAGTAAGTTGTTCTTGCATTACTTCTTTGTTGCTTGTTTTTGGTCGTTGAGATCTTATGGTAGAGTGTTGCTAGTGAATTGTTGAAGTCATTGCTCCTGGATTTGTGAGTGTATGAGCTTAGTGCAAGACCTTGATAGTGTCTTTGCTAAAGGAGCACTAGTATTTGAGAGTTTAATGAGAAAGTGAGTCATTTTGAGTGAAGTGACGTTAGAGAGACGTTTGAAAGTCATAAAATCACATTACAAACCATTCTCCACCATTTAGACGTAATTTGGACTCAAAATATGCAAAAAGTTGCAAAACAGCGAATTCTGGGTTTGTAGTTCAGCAATCTTTAAGTAGTCATATCTTTTGCATTACAACTCCAAATCAAGAGTTTTTTGGACCTACTTGTAGCTTGAGATGGCGTCTTTTGAGGGTGATAGCTTAAGAGTTGTTGAAAAGTTTAGAGGTGACAACTTTCACCACTGGAAGGCCAAAATAGAGCTACTTTTGGCGTCATTGGATCTTTGGGAGATAGTAGATGAGGAGGAACTTGCACCTGGGATAGAGGCAAGCATCAAGGAGCAAAAGGACTTCAAAAGACGAGAGAAGAAGGCTTTTGGCATAATTGCCACCAATTTAGATGAAAGCAACTTTGTTCATATCATTTCTTGTAAAGGGGCTGCAGATGCATGGAAGACTCTTTGCAATGTCTATGAAAGTAGGAATCTCTCCAATGTGCTATGGTCAAGGCAAAAATTCTTCACCGTGAAGATAGAAGAAGGTGAAGATCTCATGGCTCATGTGAATAAGGTAAAAGCACTTGCAAACTAACTTGCTGTTGTTGACAAGCCTTTACTTGAAGAAGATGTTGTGATGACATTGCTCTCAAGCCTTCCGGACTCCTATTCCTCCCTCATTGTGGCATTGGAGTCTATTTCAAGGAAAGACCTCACTTTGGACTATGTCACGGTAAGACTAGCCCATGAAGTGACCAAAAGAAAGGAAAAGGAGTCTATTGGGGAGCAATCAGCACTATTTACTAGACCAAGTAAGGCAAGTGCCCCTTTTCAATGTTATCCTCCTAAAACTTGTTACATATGTGAAAAACCAGGCCATTTTGCTAGAAATTATTTCAAGGCATAGAAAGGAGAAAGAGAGAATGCCAACAATGCTTTTCATGACCATGGAGGTGAAGACTTTGCATTCATGGCAAAACAAACTCCTTCTATGCTTGATATGAGTAAATGGATTGTGGATTCCGGATGTACCAAACACATGACTCCATACAAGTGTTCATTTAATACTTATCAACCAATTCAAGCAACCAAGGTTTATTTAGGTGATAATTGTATGGTACAAGCCATTGGAATAGGCACCATTGTAGTGAAGGTGGTGGTAAAGGGCATAAGCAAGAGAATCACTCTCAAGGATGTGTTGCATGTGCCAAAGATGAAGAAGAACCTCCTTTCGGTGAGTAAACTTGTAACTCATGGGTACAAAGTGCAATTTAACATGAATGGATGTTTTGTGAGAACCTGTCAAGGACAAAGACTCGATGAGGGAAAATATACACCAAAAGGCTATCTCGATATAATAAGTCAAAATATAAACAAGTAGGTATATTAAAAGGAAACTGGAATGGCTATTGCCACAAGACAAGAAACTAAAGACTCTTGAACCTGGACTAGAAGCAAGAAAGGAGTTGACAAGAGTGAAGAAGCCTTCACTCTTGTCTCTATATATACTATCTAACTAGGGGCTACGTGGCGACGTTCTATAGGACCTCCAATATGTGTTGACTTTGTAGGACACATGCCTTGACTTACAAGGCAAGTTTTTCTACGTGTGGGCCACATAGTTAGCTTGATCTTCAAGCTAACAACATGTGTGGCACATGGCCAACTTGTTGACCACGTTTCTAATCCAAAAAATCAATTAAAGACACCTATGAAGTCAAAGCAACGTCTAGGAAGTTTCTAGGAAGCTTCTATATTAAATATTATAGAATTAACTTACTTTTATCTACTTTTACTTACTTCTACCTATTTCTATATGTAATTATTAGCTTACATGATTATGGCCGTGACATTATCCCCCCTTCTAGAGACGAGTTCCACGAGGAGCGGTCATCATATGTTGAGGAAATCTATGATGCGACGAATTGTATTCGCCACATACTCTGATCTCTGTTCTCTTCGAAGATGAATGATAGGGCCTCTCAACCATCGATAGTGTCCCATACCAGGGCAGGAAGACCACCCAGTTATTTGATCATTGTTGAGGCCTTCGTAACTTCCTTCGAATAGAATATTCGGAACACCATCAAGAGTTGTTCCTACTTCTAGCAAAATCACCAAACATCGAGAGTCCCTTCCCAAATCGTGATACCAAACGCGTTGTATCTCACCATCTGTTCGAGGAAGAACATGTCGTTCTTGAAGATCTTCATCTCGATTGCGTCGTCTTGAAGGTTGTGACAATCGTAATGTCTCGTTCGGCAGGTCAGCAAACAAAGGTTCTTGAGTTGAATCCGCTGGTTGTTGGCTTTCCATCTAATTAGCGTCACAAATGCAAAGAAGTTACAAACAAGGATAGGAAATTGAATGTTATCTTGCCTCAATCTTGT